GGGGGGGGGGGGTAGAGGTGTTGTGGGGTTATTGTGGGTTCTCGACCCATATTATACAGCGTACAAGTGGGCCGTTATGGTACAGGGGGATGGGGGCAGCTCGTGCGCAACTTCATCAACGTGGCAAGCCTTGTACGCGAGAGGCACGGTAAAGGGGGAGCTAAAAGAAGAATGAGAAAAACGAATGGTTTGAGTGTGCCCTTCATGTTTGTCTTATTTTTTAATTTTTTAATTTTTTAATTTTTTAATTTTTTGTTTCTGCCGTTTGTTTCGCAAAGTGCGCTCTTGTAGTTCATAGTTATGTGACAATATATATATCGTATATATGTAGGGTTCTGCCTCCTGACGAGTCGGTGAAACTCCGACCAAACTATTTGTCACAGCCCCTCGTTTGTTTTCCTCTTCTCCCTCTCTGCCTACGGTTTACCGGGCAGCTCTGTTTGACTATATATATATTATAATATATATACCTGCGTAGCACAGCGAATGTGTTCGGGAGTTCTTCGAACGTCCGAACACGTTCCGCCGTTCGCCCGAACGGGAAGCAAACGCGTTCGCACGAATGGCTTTTGGAGGCCTCCGAACGCGTTCGCCCATCGGGCGTTACCAGGCCTCCAAGGGTCTGGGGGGTCTTGGGGCCGGAGGGGGGGGCTGTTCGGGAGGGGGGGGCTGTTCGGGGGGTGGGGAACAGCACGGGCGGCCTGGCGGGAAGGGGCAGTCGGGTCCCCCGTTCGAATTCGAGCGAACATTTGCCCCATCGTCGTCGCTCGACCCCGCGCAGCTTCCACGTCAGCCGAGCTTCGAACCCCCCGGTAGGTGTGCCCCCCTCGCCCTCCTCCTCGTCGCCCTCCTCCGCCTCTTTCTCCTCCCCCTCCTCCTCCACCCCTACTCCTCCTCCTCCTCCTCCTCCACCATATCTTCTTCTTCTTCTTCTTCTTCTACTGGATCAATCAATCAATCAATCGATCAATCCACGTATGGATTCGTTGATTTGATTCGTTGATTGAATCGAATCTACATCAAGATTCGAATCGAATCTACATCAAGATTCGATTCAATCAATGAATCGATTCATTGACTGAATCGAATCAGATCAAGATGAGTCGAATCTTGATCTAGATTCGATTCAATCAATGAATCGATTCGATTCGTTGATTGATTCAAATCTTGATGTAGATTCGATTCAATCAACGGATCAATCAATGAATCGAATCGATTCATTGATTGAATCGAATCTAGATCAAGATTCAATTCAATCAACGAATCGAATCGATTCATTGATTGATTGATTGATTGATTGATTGATTGAATCGATTCGATTCGATTCGCCGCACTCCTCGCCATCCTCGTCTCCACCCTCCTCGCCATCCTCGTGTCCACCCTCCTCGCCATCCTCGTCGCCACCCTCATCGCCAACCTCCTCCGCCACCCTCCTCCTCCTCCTCCTCCTCCTCCTCCTCCTCCTCCTCCTCCTACCTATCCGGATCCCGACTTCCCCCATCGTCGCCCCCCCCTCCTCCTCCTTCTCCTCCTCCTCCTCCTCTTCTCTCCTACCCCACCCCCACCCCCCCCAACCCCCCGGACCCATATAAAAAAAAATAAAAAAATAAAAAAATATGTTTGCGTTCAGTCGGTTTTCCGACCCGTTCGCGTTCGGTCGCGAACGTTCGCGTTCGGTCGCGAACGTTCGCGTTCGGCAACCGAACGCGAACAGCATGCTACGCAGATACATACTTTTTTCAAGTTTTTTGTTTGTTGCCGGGTTCCGACCAACTGCCGACTGGTAGGTGCCGACCATGGGAATGGTCGGTTGGTTGGCCCCTGACCAATCAAGGGGCGCCGACCGTCCGCGTGACTACTCTGCCATATGTTGTATTTGGGTGCAGAAGGTAGGCTCTATACTTAGGCATTTTGAGTCTACCACAACTTGTCCTCCCAGTTTACAGAAGAAAATGAAGCTCGCACAGCCTCACAGATCACATGGACTCCGCCTTTTTAAGTCAAGTCAAGAAGACTAAGCCATTTTCAGTCAGCTATTTCCAGTCTGGACTTAGCCATTTTGAGTCCAGCACAACGTGTCCACATCGCCATTTTCAGTCTAGACTTTGCCATTTCAAGTCCAGCACACATGCATCCTCACAATCCTTACTGCACTGTGACAGTAACTGAAGTTCACACATATCATTGACTGACCTGCCTGACCTGATGTGTCGTTTCTGGTATGGCTTGCGGTAATCTTTGCTCGGAATGGGGACTGTCACTGTGACGGCATGCGTATATGACTTTGAGTGCATGCATTCGACTGGATTTCGTAAATGGTACTCGTAGGCCATGAAACTGACAGATTTCAAGGTCCCAAATTCGGATGCAAGGGGCATTTACTACCTGCGAGAGGAAGCGGATGCAGCTATACTCGACAAGGCTGTAAAGAAAGCGAAGGGGAAAAATGCCGTGGTTCTTGGTGGCGGCTACATTGGCTTGGAGATTGGAGCTGCTCTGGTCATCAATGGTGTCCAGACGACGATTGTGTTTCCAGAGCCGCATTGCCGTAAGTTTGTCACTCAGTGAATGAATCTCTGTATGCACAATACTTTACGTACTTGTTACACACCCATATCTACATGCATATACATATCACATTATACATCCAGGGATTCCAAGCATATGTGCATGCATATAGGTACGTATAAAATGTTCTATGTACATTCATAGTATCACATACATGTATATTGTTGACGTACATGTATATTGTTGTCACGTGGACAAGAAAGGGGGAATGTGCCAAAGGGTAACTGTGACAGGCTATGGCACCTGGATGTTTGTGCACCTTCTTTCTGCAACGCTCACTGCAGCGTTGGGAGTTCGATGAACGAACCCGCCCAGATCTAAACAGCAAATAAGAAGGAATGTACTCTGTAGATCTTTCACACCCTATTGATGGGTGAATGGCATGACATGAAACACATTATATTAAGGTCATTCGTTCAAACTTCGGACCCTATTGAGAACAATGATGCGCAGAAATGTCCCCTTTTCTTTTGCTGAGAAAGATCTTGGCTGTAGTTTGATTCCGTGCAGAATTTAGTTCGTCTACGTCCATCTGGATTCCAAGTCGAGTCTACATTTCAACAGTTCGTGGGTGGACCAACTGAGCTAGGCGCATTGGTCAGATTCCGTGGAGAATTCAGGAGGTCGTGGGTTCGATTCCCCAAATCTTCCATTCGGACCCCCACGGCCTCCCGTGGCATGCTGAGGGTTCACCAGCTGAGATAGCCGGCCTGCCCCCTTTGGTTGGTTTGGTAGGGAGGGGCTATCCCTTTGTTCCTTCCACCCTTCGCCGGGGGTTAGGATCAATCTGGAGTGGAGTAAAAGGAAATATTTCTTGGATTACTCAGCGGTGCTTTGGACACGGGTGGAGGCTGGTGTAAGGACATATGCAAAACCACATAGGTCGGTAGGTAGTGGGAGATATAATTGAGAGAAGAGCAGAGTTTAGTTTAGTTTTTCTTGATGCAAAAAAAAGAAAAATCACGATTCACAATGACCTTGGAAGCTCATCTGTAGATTGCGTCTATAAGAGAATATATCACCAAAGTACCCAGCTCTTTGCAGCAAACAAGATGATGATCATGCTCATTCTAAGTCCCTTCCGCCAGATTAGAAAGCAAGCTGTGGTTCCTCAAACATAGCCAGCTTAGCCCTCGGTTGTCTTTTCCACCATTGGCTCATAGGGCTGTCACCATCTTACGGCTTCATTCAAGTTCACTGTCCAATTGTCAAAAAAAGAAAGAAAACTCTGAAAAAGATATAAGTGAAGGTTTACTCCCCCCTCTGTAAGACCAAATTAAAGACAGTGCCTTCTGGTTGTGGTCACATTCTATTTTTGGACCAGACCAGGAGGAGGACCAGCTCGGTTCCTTTTCCACCGGTGAGTCCGAAATTGACAAGGACATCCCCTCAGAAAGGTGATGTTCACCAGTTCTGGTTGTGGTCCCTCTCTTTTTTTACTTTTTAAAGGAAAGGTTGCGTTTTATTAAATTGTATAACTTGAGGCCGGGGGGATCTCTCAACATGGCAACACGGAAAATCCTGGGTCCATTGTGGTCCCGCTCTATTTTGGTACCAGACCAGAAGGAGGACCAGCTCGGTTCCTTTTCCACCAGCAAGTCTGCAATTTTCAAGGATACCTGCCACCCACATCCCCTCAATCAGAAAGGTCATGTTCACCAGATACAAGTCATAGCGGAAAGGTGGTGGGACCAACCATCGTAACATAGATTGAGGCTCGTGTTCCCTGGCAAACTGTTACCGCAATCAATCCCCCACGCTTCAGAAGCTCTCAGTGACTATTATTCGATCTACCAGTACCCGTCCAATAACTGGCGCAATAACTGGAGAAGCAAGGAGAAAAGAAGTCTTCGTTAAACCACCACTGCCATTGAGGCTGTGACGGTAAGTCTCAAAAGTAGCCTACTCCGCCCGCATTGGAGGCCGGCGAAGGCTGGGCGCTACCGGGGGTACCGGACCATAAAAAAGGCTGGCGGCGCCAGCCCAAAGAAAACAAAAAATGCTCGCTGGTGCTTCGACACCCCATTGGCGCGCAGTGAAATTCAGGATCAGCAAAACGAGGATCGGAGGTAGTGGTGGTCTAAAGGAACGTTTTGCAATCTGCACAGAGGGTAAGATAGAGGATTGATTCCACTTCTGCTTTCAATGTGAAATCATCATCCGTCTGGAGCAGTTCTGCGAGCTCTGGAAATCAATCATGGGGAATTGTTCTGAAAAGCTGACCAGGCACTTGCTACTGCAGTTAGTAAAGGGGGGTAGGAATACTAAGCTGACAGGGGACTCCAGAGTCTTTGAGAGGGGGACAGGTCAATGACAGGAAGGGTATCTTTTTGAAGTTATCAAAATCACTCCTGCTACCCGGCAATGCCCCAGGCGCCTGGCTATCAGAGAGCAAGGGGCGAAGTGGAGGGGGACCAAAGCTTCCAAGAGGGCTGGAAAAAACCTGTTCTAGGACTGAAGATTTAGTCCACCAATTTTTATTTATATTTATTCACTCCCTCTGAGTCCCTCAATGTTTTCTTATGGTTTTTTTTTTTTTGTAACATCTATTGCCTTCTGAGTTCTTGACAGGTGCAAGTCTTGCGAGGTAATCACATTGCATAAAGTGATGAAATCATTAAAATGATGACGGTTGGAATCGCTGTGCTTTTTCTGTGTCTGCATTGTGGTTCTGTCTGCAGTACGTCGGGTGTTCACACCAGAAATTGCTGCAGTGTATCAGACTCATTATGATGGAAAGGGGGTCAAATTCATCCAGGCGGCTGTCGTAGGCTTTGTTGTCGACAATTCTTTAAATGTAAGTTGTGTTGAACATGCATGCCTTCAATCTGAAACCCAAGTCCACAAACAAAAAAATTGTTTCCACAACCGCCCAGGTTAACGAACTGATTGTGTAAGGCTGCATAGACTTGACTGTGTTACGATCCTGGCCAATTCCGAAGTGCAAATCCATGAGAAAGTACAATGCCGTTCAATTGCAAAAAGAAATGAAATGAATGAACTTGAGAGGAGAGAGAGGGAAAGAAAGAAGAAGAACAGCAAAAAACAATGATAATCCCCCTTCTCCTCGCCAACCAAACTACTCCTCCTTGTCTCTTCCCCTCTTATTCAAACAATAAATAGTAATAATCTCTATACTACTAAAAGTTGTAAAGGTCCCGCCGACATGCTCGGTCGCGGGCCCAAGGGAAACCCGTGGAGGGGTGGAACCGGGTAGGGGAACCGGTGTATGGGCGAGGCCCAGGCCGAGGCGGGCAGGGAAAAGCAAACCGGGTGAAAAGCCACGCGGGCGGGCGAAAAGCGACGCGGGTGGGCGCAGGGCAGAGGTCGCCAACAGGTGGCCGTGACCGGACCTGACCGTACCCAGCCGTAACCGGCAGTTTTGGATGGGTGCGGGTATGACCCCAAAGGATATACAGTGGTCCGGCTGGGTGTGAACATGTGTGAGAATATGCTGGGTGGAATTGGGCAGAGTGGGAAAGTTTCAGGGGGACATGGCTGGGTGGGGTGGGAAAGTTTCAGTGGGGCATGGCTGGGTGTTGTCTCGATTCCCTGGGGGGTACGGCTGGGTGGAGGTTTGGCCTGCATGACCCGAAGCCTGTAGGCCATAAAGCTAGTATAGGTACTAGCCTTCCAGGTAGTAGGTAGTATTAGGGCCAGGCTGCAATGTTAATACAGCCTGGGCCCTTTTCACCGGCAATGTGGCAGGTATTGGGGTTCTGTTAGTAAGAAATTCGCCCCCTAGTTCTTATTTTCCTACTATTGTTTTTTTTCACCTAGTGTGGGAGTAGGCCCTTGAAAAATGGGCAAAAGATGCTATGCAGAGTCACAAACCAACGGGCCTCACTCCACTACTCACCAAATGTGTAAAATGGGAATGAATCTTCTGGTACATCATGGGAAGATTCACCGCCTTTTTTTTTGGGTCTTTTGTGCATGTGGTGAGCAGTGGAACGGGGCTGGACCTTTTTGGGGGAAGCAATCAATGCCTCTCTCTTGGGGCACTAGCGGTTAATGGAAGGCCAAAAATTCGGGGGTTTTCGCTGCGTTGACAGTTTCGGTGAAAAATTCGCCAAAATTTGCCGAATTTTGAGCCTTCCGTTAACCACCTCTCTCTTGCGGTTATGCAGTTTTTTTAGTGGAGCATGTGAGAGGAAGTCAATCCTTCTCGTTTTGGGGCAAGCAATCAATACCTATCTTGGGGTTATGCAAATTTTTTAGTCAAAGAATTGGAATGTTGTAACTTGTAATGCAAGCCTTGGGCACATGGCCTTTTTGAAAGGGAAAAAACTTCAAAAAAGAGTTCGCTGACCCACCTTTGCAACCCGTTCAAATGCTTGATATGCTTGTCGTTTTCTCAATGTAACTTCAAGCTTTTGAATGTCTTATCGAATTATTGCAAACAAAGTTGTCACAAGTGCGGTGGTTTGAAGATGGAAAGTGAATTTCGAACATGCATAGACCTAAGTTTGAAATCAGGGAAGAAAAAACGTGCATGGTGGGTGGTGAACTTTGGGCATGGGTACGGGCAGACATGGGTGGATGAAAATTGGTCGTGGGTGCGGGCAGATGCGGGTGGAGAAAATTAGGTCTGGATGTGGTTGGGTAGGGGTAAGGATTCTACTGCAGCTGCTGGGTGAACTGGGCACTGGTACAAAAAATATTAATTAGCTCGGGTGGGGTGGGTCTGGGTAAAAAAAAAAAAAAGACGTGGGTTGCACTGGGAGCGGGTACACATGATATATCAAGGCTTGGATTGGGTCGAATATGGGTGGGAGGAAAAATTTGTTTGACGACCTCTGGCGCAGGGCGGATGCGAGGTCCAGGGGGCGGAGGCCCAGGCCAACGCGCGGACCTGAAATGTGGTCCGCGCTCGTAGATGCTGACACGAAACAGGGGAAGGGTCATGCGCGTCGATGTTGGCAGACGCGAAACAGGGGCGGTCACGGAGGTGAGGCAAGGCGATGCGAAACAGGGACGGTCGCGGAGGTGAGGCAAGCTGGCGCGAAACAGGGCCAGTTGCGGAGAGGAGGGGGAGGAAGAGCAGCAGGAGGGCCAGCGGGAGAAGGGCGATCCACCATCTGTTGTTGTTAAGTGGTGTGAAAGGGAGGACGCGCGTGCGCGCGCGCGCACGCGCCCGAGAGAGAGAGCGAGAGAGCGAGAGAGAGAGAGAGAGAGAGAGAGAGAGAGAGAGAGAGAGAGAGAGAGAGAGAGAGAGAGAGAGAGAGAGAGAG